AGACCAAGTCTTTGAGTGTATTTAAGTCAGAGATAGATAGTTGTTGATTAGAAAGGGGATCAAGGTTTACGGGGAGAAGGCAGAAGAATGGGGTTGAGAAACATATCAGCCATGATTGAATGGGAGCAGACTCAATGGGCCTAAAGGCCTAATGCTTCTCCTATATCTTGTGGACTTATGGATAGGTTGAAAATACATTCAGTTAAAAGGTAAATTCTTTTAGTTGAATGTTTCAGCTCGTGTCCACAATGTTAAAGAATACTTTACTTAATAATGTTAGAAACTTAGAAAGAACTTGAGGGATGCGTAGAGACAGGGTTTAGTGATTATCTGGTAAAGCAAGCTATAATGTAAGTGTGACCTCAGCAGCCATGTGCTACTTCTCTGCTGGGAGGTTGGAACCTGCATAGTGCTCTGCAGCCTTACCATTCTGTGTAGTCGATTAATAGGTGTTGTTTAATATTAATCTAGAAGCCTGGGAAGAGCTTGTGTGAAGACTCAAGGATCTCCATTAGAACTTTCCTTCTCTCAACCTCTCTTTCCTTCTTTAAGATGCTCATTAAAGTCTAGATTGTTGGTATAGTTTTGGTCACCTGCCTTAATATCTCCTTCAGAAGATCAGTGTCAAAATTACAGTTTATTTTAATTTAAACCAGAAACCAAAATTTATGAAAGGCTCCTGTGAAGTGCCCTGGGATTTTTTGCCATGCTAATAGTACAAAAATGACTAACTACCATTGTTATTGCTGTATAGCTGAATTTGGGCAAATTGTGCTGGAAAAATGAACACAACTGAATATGATATTCTGTTAAAGCTTCACTAAAGTTAGTACAAATTTGGGACATTGACATTGGTTACTTGATTTTTAAAGAGTGATTCTAAACAGATACAATTCCAGTTACAGCATTCATGCATAATGCTGCTGTAATTTTGCATTTACAGTCAGAGTTGGAAACTTAACCACTATGAGTTTGAATTTACAATCTCAATCCAATTTGATGCCGCTTTGCAGAGGATATTTTCATCTTGTTTAACATGGCCTTGATGCTGTAAATCAACATTTCTTTGAAATTTGACTTTGAAACCCATTAATGTCAGGTTTTTCAAAATCTCTTCTCTCAGATCTGTTTCCACAGGCAAAATCAAGCAGCCTTCACCCAGCTCAGGAAAAAAAAACAACTGAGAAAAAATTCTCCTGAGACCCATCTGTCACTGGCATTCTAGAAGTGCCTTTCCAAAAGGCACCTGAAGCAAAGTTGTGGAATCTGATCATTTGCTGCCTCTCCAGCCTCCACACCCACAAAATTCAGGAATATAGCGACTTAAAGAAACAAATAATTCACACAATTCAAAATCCATGAAGATGGTAAATAAAGAGCAAAAAGGATATGTTATGGAAATATATACATACTTAAAATACTTTATATGTTAATAACATGTTAAAATACTTTATTAATACATGAAATTTAAATATTTTAACTATATTTAATGACTACAGTTCCATTGAGATGTAACAATGTTAAAAAACATTAAAAGGTGACTTTTTTTTTCATTTTTAAAGATGACTCAAGAACCCTGCAGCCTTCAGAACTCAATGTCAAGTTCAATAATTTTAGGTCCTTTGTTCTTTTCCATGACCCACCCTCACGCCCCACACCCTGTCATCACATGAGCTATTTTCAGTGCTGCCAACCATTTTCATCTACGTAGGGCCCCCATTAGCAGCTTTTCTTTCTCTCAGGTTTATTATCGTCCATCCCTTTGTCTTTCTGCTCTTTTGGGCTCCATCTCCACCTATCACTTAATCCTTTACCGCGTCACACCCCAACCATCCAACCCCATCCCTGTCTTCAATATATACACAACCTTTTCCTCACTATTACTAATTCTGATTAAGAGTCACTGGACTGAAAACGTTAGCGTCTGCTTTCTCGCTGCAGACGCTACCAGGCCTGCAGATTTTCTCCAGCAATTTCTGTTTTTGTTTCAGATCTCCAGCATTTGCAGCTCTTTGTTTTATTAAGTAAAGCGAATGTCCACTCTTTACTAAACTCTATATAAATTCCATAATGCTGTCTTGAAGACATGATGTTTAAAATTGTACACAATGTGATCTCACTAATAATCTGAACAGTTAGAATTATTTGTATTGGTTTACATTTTGTGTCAATTTACCTTAACGATCCAAACTTTTACACTTTACCTAGAAAAAGAAAGGACTTTCATTCATGTAATGCCTTTCACAATCTTAGGATACTTCAGAATAGTTGTATTATTGCATAGATCCTAGACTAGATAGGCCAATAGACAATTAGAGAATATTCTGACATTACAGTATCAATGCACCAGACTCTCCTTCAGTCACAGTTTTTCTAGAACTTGGAAAATAGAACTGTACAGCACAGGAACAGGCCCTTCGGTCCATGATGTCGTGGAGAACATTGCGTCAAACTAAACTAATTACTTCTGCCTGCCCTTGGTCCATATCCCTCCATTCCTTATCTATTCATGTGCTTATCTAAAAGTCCCTTAAACGTCCCTACCATATCTGCCTCCACCATTCCACCTGGCAGATGTTCCAGACCCCTATCAAGCTTTGTGTAAAAACCTTGCCCTTCACGTCTCCTTTGAACTTTCCCCCTCTCATCTTAAATGCATGTCCCCTAGTTTTAGATATTTCAACTCTGGAAAAAAGATTCTAACCGTCAACCCTACCTATGCATCTCATAATTTTGTAGACTTCTATCAAATCTCCCCTCAGCCTTCGCTGTTCCAGAGAAAACAACTTGAGTTTTTCTAAGATAACAAGGTGTAGAGCTGGATGAACACAGCAGGCCAAGCAGCATCAGAGGAGCAGGAATGCTGACGTTTCGGGTCTAGACCCTTCTTCAGAAAATTTTTCTAGAGTTTTTCTAGCCTCTTCTTATAGCTCATACCCTCTAACCCAGGCAGCATCCTGGTAACCTCTTCTGCACCCTCTCCAAAGCCTCCACAGCCCTCCTGTAATGTGGTGATCAGAATTGAACACAATACTCTAACAGAGGCCTAAACAAAGTCTTATAAAGCTACAACATGACACCCTGACTCTTGTACTCAATTTCACAACCAATAAAGTCAAGGATGCCAAGCACATTGTAATAACAGTGATAGCTGTTTGTAATTACTATACTTTTGCTCAATGTAGTCAGTAAGTATAGATCCTACAGCATGTAAGTCTGAGATTTTACAGCAATAGTTAGTGTTGTTAATAAAGTGCAAGTGATCTGACTCAACAAGAACTATGTTTTGTGATATATGTATGAATACTAGGATATCGGGAACACGCAAACCACATTATACTGGTAGTGGTGTTTTCAGACAACGAATGCTATTGAAAAGTAGCTGCTACTGCAATGTAGGAAATGTGACAGCCAATTTGTACACAGCATGGTCATGCAAACAGGAATACCACAACGGGTCAGATATTCCGCTTCAGCGATATTGTTTGGAGGATAAATATGGGCTGGGACGCCCCTGTTGTTCTTTAAAATAATGTTACTTGAATAGACAAATAAGGCCTTGGTTAAACATCTCACCCACATAATGGCACCTTTGTCAGGATAATATCCATTCAGTATCCCACTGTGTGTGTCAAAGTAGATCTCTCTGGAATGGGATTTGAACCTGTGACCTATTAATTGCCACCAATGTAGATCTGTGCCATGTATATATCAGTCTACACTCCGTTATCCATTTTAACACTGACTGTGGTAAATTGAGTTACTGATATCTCCTTTAGCATTGGGTGGGTGTTGGGTCATGTGAACGCTTTGCCTGGCCAATATCCGACAGTGTGAGGCTTGAGTCAACTTGACAACTGGGCCTCATTCGAATCTACCATCGAGGTGTGAGTGCTGAGCTGATGTCTACTGACACCTCAGTGAATAGAGTGGATAAAAATTTCAGAGGTTACTCTAGACAGTCAAGCATTAAGTAATAGATTAATGTGGGTATGCTGGAAAGGGTCACCAGGGGAAGATGTGTTTCAGTCAACAATGGGCCAGATGATACAAATACAGAAATTGCTGGAAAAGCTCAGCAGATCTGGCAGCATCCGTGGAGAGAAATCAGAACAGTGTTCCAATGAAGGGTGACCCGACCTGGAATATTAACTCTGTTTTCTCTCCACAGATGCTGCCAAACCTGCTGAGATTTACCAGCAGTTTCTGTTTTTGCTTCTGATTTACAGCATCTGCAATTTTATTGGTGTTTATTGGGCCAGAAGATATTTGGAACATTTCCCCTGGCATCAAAAATATTTGAAAAAAACTTGTGATCACTTTTTCTTTTTAAACAGTCTGTCGGTACCACAGGTGGATTTAGACCAAAGGAGTAGAACTAGGTCATTTGGCCCAATGAGAGCGCTCCATCATTCAATGGCTGACCTGAAAATACTCAAGTCCACTTTTGAGCCTTATCCCTATAACCCTTATTAATTAAAATTCCATCTATCTCAACCTTTGATATACCTAATGACCCAAACTCTAAGACCTCTGTGATAAAGAATTTCACTGATCGAATACCTTCTGAGAGAAGAAATTCCTCCTTGTCTCTGTCTTAGATATGTGCCCCCTTACGCTGTGATTTTGCCCTCTGGCCCTGGACTTATTGACCAACTTTTGTCATTGATAATCAGTCACCTGTCCATAGACCAATCAACTCTCTGCTCCTATGATGCTGCTTGGCCTGCTGTGTTCATCCAGCCTTGCACCTTGTTGTCTCAACTTCCTGTTGTTACCCAGTTACATCAGTACACAGAACCCCTCAGCTCCAATTTATCTGCAACCACTTCGATTACTATTGATTTTAACAACTATTTACACACTGCTTGCTATAAGTATCAGGATACTTGCTATTCAAAACGTGTAGCAGTACTTTTAAACATCTTTTTTTAAAAAAAAGTTCTTTCATACTTTAACACACAACTTTAAAAAATGGCGCAGAAATAAAAAATAGATACCGTGTTTCCATCGGTTACATTGGGCATAAAAATTGTAAATCAGATCCTTTTCCATCCTCCCTCTCTTCCAGCTGCTGACTCTTACTGATCTGCAGAAACTACTGTTGCTTCCTGTCAGCTTGTTGTTCACGTAGTGGACGGCAAAATGCAAGTTGGTGTGCTTTCCGACTGGGGAGGGCATGACCAGCTCATAACCAAGCCTGAAACCAACGCTGGAACACATGACTCGAGTTGGACTGAAGGTTCTGTTTCCATGCTGTTCACCTCTATGACTGCAACCATCAGTGCAGAGTCAGAATGTAACTCGGAGCACACCCAAAATAGATTCCATGGAGCTGACCCTTGAAGGAAAAAGATGAAATCATGGTGAGAAATTGCTCATTCTCCAAAAATCCATGTTTATTAGTGTGTTTCATTTTATTGGCTCTACGTTGTAGTTAAAAAAAAAAACTTTTGTTTGTTTTGGGTCATTTCTCACCTCATGAGGACTGTGTATGATTCCCAAAATGTATACTTTAACATTTTTATATACATTGTGCCAATAAATAGTGTTACAACACCCATCTTGTCCACTCATAACCTCACAAGTCTGCTGAAAGCTTGCAGAAAACTAATTTGACAAGGCACCTCCGTGGGACAGAGTACCAGCAGTCTATTGTCAGGTTACTGTTTCCATAAATATTCCACAAAGACACCTCCTGTATTTTAATTCTCTTCAAATCTGTCAGTTTCAGCTGATAGTCCTTATCGTCTACTGCCCCTGTGTGGCCTTTCCAGCAAAAACTTTGGGAAAAGCAATTTGTGAATCATTGGTTTGGAATAATTACCAAACCAAAATTTGTTCTAATGTACAGCAGTCTTATCTTGACATCGATGACTGTAGTGGTGGAGGATACCCGTGAGGGTTAATAGAAAGATGTAAGGGATCAGGTACTTTTGAAGTGGAAAGACCAGAGAAACTGGTGTTAATTTTCTTGCAGTAGTTTCAGTAGGTTTGATGAAGATGTTCAAAATTAAGTGGGGTTTTGGAAGAGTAGTTAGAAACTTCGTTCTGAGGAAGAGTCATCGGATCCGAAACGTTAACTCTGTTTTCTCCTTCACAGATGCTGCCAGACCTGCTGAGCTTTTCCAGCAACTTTGTTTTAGTTAGAAACTTTATCCAGTGGTGCAGGGGTTAGCAATTAAAGGACCTAGATTTAACTTAATTGGAAAAGAATCAGAGGGGAAATGGAGGGCAATTTTTTCACCGTCAGTTGCTACGATGCACTTTCTGAAAGGGTGGCGGAAGCAGGTTTTAATGGGAGCAGCACAAGCTTGGAGGGCTGAAGGGCCGGCTCCTGTGCTGTATTGCACTTTGTTCTTAGTTCTTGTAGCTTTCAAAACAGATTTGGATAAACGCTTGAAGGGAAAACAACTGGGAAAAGTGTATGTGTTACTTGTGGGTGGAACGTTGCTGCCACTAATTGTCTTTCATTTGATTGTGTTTGGGGAACTAATCGGTTTGCAATAGTAAATGACTGCCCATGATTGACTTTTACAAAAAAAACACAAGTAATCTGTGCGTGTAACAAGGTGTAGAGCTGGATGAACACAGCAGGCCAAGCAGCATCAGAGCATCAGAAAATTTTTTGAAGAAGGGTCTAGACCCGAAACGTCAGCCTTCCTGCTCCTCTGATGCTGCTTGGCCTGCTGTGTTCATCCAGCTCTACACCTTGTTATCTCAGATTCTCCAGTATCGGCAGTTCCTACTAATCTGTGCATGATAGCATTGAGATATGAGTTTATTTAGATTCTTAGACATTGTGAATGAAACTATCACTCCAGGGCTTAGATCTCATCTATTATTTCTCGAACCACTCAGTCCTGTCTATCACTTGCTGCATATGCTGTTACCACACAAGTAGCTTTGTTTTGTAATTTCACCATGTCATCATTTCATTTTTATGTATGTTTGGTGCAGCTCCTGCCGAACCATTCTTCACTCTTCATTCAACTGGGATTAACCCTCAGGTTCGTTGGTAATGGCACAGTGGGAGATATGTCAGGCCATGAGTCACAGAGACACAGATTCAAGGAGTCATACAACATGGAAACAGACCCTTTGGTCTATGTCAACCATAATCCCAAACTAAGCTAGTCCCACTTGCCTGCATTTGGTCCATGCCCCTCCAAACATTTCTTATTCGTGTACTAATCCAAATTTCTTTTAAACATTGTAACTGTACCCGCATCCACTACTTCTTCTGGAAGTTCATTCCACACACGAACCACTCCCTATGTAAAATAATTGCCCATTATGTTTTTTTTAAGTCTTTCTCCTCTCACCTTAAAAATATGCCCCTTCGCCTTGAAATCTCCTACAATAGGGAAAAAAAAACACCTGCTGTTCAACTTATCAATACCCCTTATGGTTTTATAAAAGTCTATAAGGTCACCCCTTAACTTCCTATGCTCCAGCCTTTCCTCATAACTCAAACACTCCATTCCCAGCAACATCCTGGTAAATCTCTTCTGAAACCTCTCCAGCTTAATAATATCTTTCCTATAACCAGAACTGGATGCAGTATTCCAGAAGAGGCCTCAGCAACACCCTGTGCAACCTCAACATGATGCCCCAACTCCGATACTCAAAGGTCTGACATTGCAGATTGTGTTGGAGTATGAGTTTGCTGCTACTGTTAGCCTATAATGCCTCATGGATGCTCAATCTTGAGATGCTAGATCTATTTGCAGTCTGTCCCATTTGGCACGGAGATAGTGCTACACAACATGATGAAGGGTAACATCAGTGTGAAGATGGGACTTCATCCCCACCAGGACTGCGCAGTGGTCATTCTCACAAATGCTGTCATGGGCAGATAAATCTGTGGCAGGCAGGCTATGAGGAAGATGTCAAGCATGATTTTTTCCCCTCTTGTTGGCTCCCTCACCACCTGCTGCAGACCCAGTCTAGCAACTATGCCCTATAGGACCCAACCGGTTCAGTCAGCAGTGTTATGGATATTGAAGACCCCACCCAGAGTACCTTCTGTGCCCTTGTCACCTTCAGTGTGTACAAAGTGGAGGAGCATTCAGTCATTGGGTAATGGAGGAGAGGGACAGTCAGTATGTGGTAATCAGCACAAGGTTTCCTTGACCATGGTTGACCTCATGCTGTGAGATTTCATAAGGTCCTGAGTCAATGTTGAGAACTCCAAGGGCAACATCCTTTAAGATATACTCAGGGATGCTGATGGTGTTCAAAGGTGATTGTGTGTGAAGTGGGAATTAAATAAGATTTTATCAAAAAAAGGGGCTCCAACAGGAATAAGACTGTGAAGGACATTTTAACAGGCATGAACCTTCAACACCTTAAGATATGATGTCAACAAAAATGAGTGGAGAGAAACCTTGCATATCTTTAGGCCTGCATCAACTTTGAGAGCAGACTAGAGAATACAGATTCCTGTTGACAGAATAAGAGAAAGACATAGGACAGAAGAATTATTTTTATTGTGCAAGAATGAAATATAAACAGTGTATGTGTATAAATGTTGCTGATTTCTGTACGAACTAGAGAGATGTTGAACAAAGGTCAGATGTGGGGCAAAGTATAAGCCAGAATTCTATTTAGCTACTCTAAGACTGAGGTTGTTTGATTCAACACAAAGTTAACTTGTATAATTGATGTGTGTATGGAGAATTAATTACAAAATGTATAAGGTGAGTTCTGTGAGTTATGACTATATCAGGCTGTGCTTTCATAGATCTGTGAGATGGCTTTTGCAGCATCGACAAGGCTGGATTTCCAGCTGCTATTTCAGGTTCTGAGGTCAAAGTCAGGTGGTCCATCAGGTGGAATGGCACGGTGACTCAGTGGTTAGCACTGCTGCCTCACAGCGCCAGGGACCCAGGTTTGCTTCCAGCCTTGGGAAACTGTCTGTGTGGAGTTCACATTCTCCTTGTGTCTGCGTGGGTTTCCTCTGGATGTTCCGGTTTGGTCCCACAGTCCAAAGATGCTCAGGTTAGGTGGATTGGCCATGCTAAATTGCCCGTAGTGTTCAGGGATGTACAAGCTAGATAGAGCAGCCATGGGAAATGCAAGACTACAGGGATAAGGTGGGTGGAATGGTGTTCAGGGTATCAGTGTGGACTCGATGGACCGAATGGCCTGCTTCCGCACTGTAGTGATGCTGTGATCTGATTTCATTCCTTTTTTCAGACTTTGTAGCAGTGGATACAACTGAGTGGCTTCTTTGGTCATTTCAGAAGGAAGAGTCAATCACATTGCATGGGTCTGGAGTCACATATAGGCCAAACCAGATAAGGATGGTGGATATCCTTCCCTAAAGGGCCTGATAGGATTTTGAAAACAATCAACAATGGTTCCACAGTCATCTTTAGATTTTTAATTCCAATTTTTAAAAAAATTTTAATGTGAATTCCGCCGTCATTTTACCTGAGTCCATGGTAGATTAAAAAAAAACAAAGAACTGCCGGTTCTGGAAATCAGAAACAAAAACAGAAATTGCCAGAAAACCTCAGTAGGTTTGGCAGCATCTGTGGAGAGAAAGCAGAGTTAGCATTTAGGGTCCTTTGACTCTTGTCTGAAGAAGGGTTAATGGACCTAAAATGTTAACTCTGTTCTCTCTCCACAGATGCTACCAGATCTGCTGAGTTTTTCCAGCAATTTTTGTCTTTGTCTCTGGTATATTATCCGGGTCTCTGGATTACTTGTCAGTGATGATACCACTGCATCATCCATAATTTTACTGAAATGATGTTCTTTTGCCATAGCTCAGCATTGCTTGTACTCATGAAATTTTAGCTCCAAAGCAATGATGCTGGTTTTGGTATCTGTAGTTTGGCTTATTTTTCATGTTGCTTGTCACATATGTCTTTAAAATGCTTATACCTTGTGAAGTAAATGTGTTCCATGGGTCTTCTGTAATAAGCTTCTCAGGATTTGTCCATGTATCGTCCTAGTTTCTGCTTCTACCTCAGTCTCAAGAGTTTTCTCCAAAATTAGGGCTTCTTCAGATTTTGTAAATTTGGCAAAAGCTCATCATTAATTCCAATGACAGTTCGGCCTCTTATGAATTCTGATTTCAAAGCTCCAAATCATTAACAGGATGTGGGCATGACTAGCTTGGGCAGTATTCATTGCCCATCCCTAATTGTCACAAGTAGGTGGCAGTGAGTTGTCTTCTTGAACGACTGCAGTCAGTAGGAGGTTGGTACAACATCTGGATTTTGTCAGAGAGACAGTGTAGGAACAACAATATATTTAAAGTTAGAATGGTGCGCAGCTCGGAGTGGAGCTTGTGCTGGATTTTGGGAGAGGGTGGATTTTGGGGGAAGGCGGGTGTAAGACAAGGAGGTGGAGTTGAGACCATGATTAGATTAGCCAGGATCTTAATGAATAGCGGAGAGTGTTCAGGGTGTGGAATGATCTGAAGGCGTTAGCAGCATTTAACAATTTGCATTGCACTGCTGGATAAGGGAGGTTCCTTATGCAGTATGTTCAAATGATTTTCTGTTCCCAGAGAAAAGCAGCAGGGTGTGTACTTTTAATAGACTGGTGTCCATATGTTGTGTCAAGAAACTAAAGACATTCAGCAATTTACAAAAGTTTTGTTGTAATCTATGGTTTAACACCAATTTCCATTCACAATTCTTCCTGCAGCAACTGGAGCGAACACTAAGGAAATACCCAACTCTTCCTATTTTTAATCAAACTATTCAGATAAATGATGATGCAGAGGGTGGAGTGTGTATGGAAGAGCTGTCAGAAGAAGTGGTGGAGGCTGGTACAATTACAACATTTAAAAGGCATCTGGATGGGTGCATGAATAGGAAGGGTTTAGAGGGGTATGAGTCAAATGGGACTAGATTAATTTAGGATATCTAGTCGGCATGGACGAATTGGACCGAAGGGTCTGTTTCCATTCTGTACAACTCTATGACCCTGTATAACACACAGGTAGTGAGACTTGAACCCAAGTCTTCCAGCTTAGAGACAGGGATGTTACCACTATACCACAAGATCCCTCGAATTTAACTCAATGGGACATTGTTTTAAACAATATATTGGGGCATGCTAAGACACACTTCTGGAGCAATTGGGACTTGAACACAGAACTCCACTGAGCAATACCTGTTCTCTCAATCAAGCCTAGAGCCATTCTGGTTTACCCTGAGAGCTCTTGTGATGGAGTGGTAGTGTGCCTATCACTGAGCCAGGAGAACCCAGGTTCAAGTCCCACCTGCTCCAGAGGTGTACAACAACATCCCTGAACAGATTGATTAGAAAATATCTTCTGGATTTTCCTGGGCTCTGGTGGCAGTGTCCCCGGCTTTGAGCCAGGAGGCCCAGGATCAAGAGCCACCTGTCCAGAGGTGTGTCACAACATGTCTGAGCCAGTAGATTAGAAAATATTGCCTCCTTTAACCTGGACTCTTGTGGTGTAATGGTAATGCCCCTAACTCTGAGCCAGGAGGCCTGGGTTTAAGTTCCACCGATTCCAAAGGTCTATGCCTGGGCAGCTTGATTGAAAATATCTGCTCTGTTTTACCCTTAAAAGTGCCTCCATTTTTAAGACTGACAACTGTGAGGATTTGTAAGGATTGCAGGCAACCCCATGGTTCAGAGGGCTATTGATACGGTGCATCTCATTTCAACTGAAAGGAATTCTAGTCCCTCAGTGGATCTGCGGTGTGGGACCATAGTCTACATAATATGTGGGTCAATGTATAACATCCTGGTTGCAACCATAATGTCTTCAGCATCACTGCCTATTGTGAACCTGTGCTCATTCAGGACTCAATAATGGAAGAAGAGTTACAGTATATGCAAAACATTAACTCTGCTTTTCTCTCCACCTGCCAGACCTGTTGAGATTCTCCAGCATTCTCGGTGTTTGTTTAGTTTGCACGACAGTAAGTTAAGTTTGTGCAACAGCTTCCACTACAGCATTTTGACTTTTGGTTGAATCTCTCTCTGTTGCAGTGGAAATGGGCATCAGCCATCATATCCTACTTCATGCATCCCCTCCAAGCCAAAACTGGATCTCTATCGCTGTCCCCTGGGTCAAAATCCTGAAACTCCCCTTTCCAGCAGCACTCTGGGTGCGTCTACACCTGACAGCCTGCAAAAGTTCAAGAAAGTGGCTCACCATCACTTCGCCAGTACAACGAACGATAGACAATAATTTTTGGCCTCGCAAGAAGCATCAGCCCTCACCCATTCCACCATGAAGAAGCAAAACGTGTGTTGCATCTGTTTGGCCACTAGGTCCATGCTGGAAAGCATGTGCTGCAGATTTTGTCGACATGGTGTGGGACTGCTTCTAGCTTCTGAACATTCAACATTGATTTTCTAGCACAGTACACCAAGCATTTAAATTTGCCCACCCATCTGCCATTCTCTACAGCCTGCCTCATTGCTGTCCTCGTCTGGGTCCTCTGAAGCAGAAACTGCATGCAACCTCTGGTGAGCTGGTACCTTCACTATCCACCTCTCTTATTCGGCTGTGGGACGCTTGTGCCCAATGTCTCACATATCTCCGAAACTACATACAATATTCGTATGTGAGCTGTTGATTGCAAGTTGTAAATTAACCAAAGTTATGCTTTCATTAATGACTGTTTCCTTAGTCTTTGTCCGTTGCCTGGCCAGGTTGTATTTCTTGGGAATCTGGAAAGAAAAAAAATGGGACATAGGCCAGGTTGTGGTGATGGGTGATTGGAAATAAGAAGTATCCACCAGTATTATCTGCATTGGAAAGGGGTATGAACGGTAATAAGATTTGAGAAGGAGAGCTAAGTATCTTGATACCATCATTTTCAATTGATTTAATCCTGTTGCTAGCCACAGCCTCGTTGATGAAATTTGTGTGATTTGTAGATATTAACGTATTTTATTTAGAGTTACATGGGATATGAGTATTATTCTATTTTTGAGAAGAGGTTTAAAATTAATTTGGTCAGTCTTTCCAGAAGCAGACTTTTAAATCAGTACAGCTTAGAGAGCAGATCACTTAAAGGATCCCTAGAATGTTAATGGAAGTTTATTATAATGTGGGAGTTTATAATCAAAGAGAGAAAACATTAAACCACTTAGCTATACCACAATCTAGGATGAACAAGTTATTTTTAATTTAGTTAAAAAGCTTTTAAAAAGTTCAAAGATTATCTGACTGGATCAGAAGCAAATATAGTCTGTTCTGGAAAAACAGATTGCTCAGAGTAGTTAAGCAAGTAAGTTACCTTACTAAAAAGAGTGTAGCTGTGAAATCTCGAGGGCAGTTTGCTTAGAAATCTGCATTGGTTATTCAAAACTGAGAAGGTCTAATTTCTTCAGATGTGTGAGTATTCTAGGAAAAGGCTTTCTGGCTTACAGGATAGAAATTTAGAAGAAGCAAATATGTTAAACTCACAAATATTTAAGGAAGAAAATAATCTCAGACTTTTGATTATGTGTAAAGTGATAGTTTTGGGGAAGAGATGCAACTTTGTTTTGATGTTTGTTTTGAAACATTTCAAGTTATGTTTTATTCAGATAGCTTGGTTTGTTTTATTTGATTTTTTAAAAAAAAATGTTTTTATGCAGTTAACTTATTAAAAACAAATCTGCAGCTGTTTGTGTGCTTGTGGTTCAGTGAAGTAATTAAATTAATGTAAAAGATACAAAATATCATCTAACAGACTAGATTTCTCACTTGAATTTGAGTTGCTCAGTAATAACATCTGCTGAGATTGTAGCACTCAGTCATGGCCTTTCCCAGAATGAGCAACACCATCTCCTTCATGAACGTTCACATGCGCTTTTATGCCCTTCCCAAATACCTGGCTTCTTTTCCTTCCAGTTATGGGCTTTATCCTACAAGAACAAAGGAAGTGTTATGGAATCTCATGACATTGTGCATTCCTATTCTATTAGTGAAAATCCAGGAAGTATCCCAATTTACGTTAAAGCATTAAAAGCGAAAATCCTGCAAACACTCAGGCTTCACATATTGCACTGGCACTATAAAATGAATGCTGTTTATAATATTCACTTAATTTTCAATTGTTTCAAAAGTATTTTGGCTATGTAGTTGAGTAGGATATATCTGCTAGGCAAAATGTTCCAGAGTGAGACAGAATTGGATAATTGATTGAAAGAGTTGGCACGGGCACAAGAGACTGAATGGTTTCCTGCCATAGATTCTATTTTCCCACTCCAAGCAAGAATTTCAAATTTCAAAGCAACATTTTGAATCTAGTCATTGAATTTAATCATTGGAACTTTTGTTTTTGCTGAATGATTTCATACATTTGCAGGGTCCCCAAAGCTGCACAGCCATCTCATTACAAACCGTCTTGCAAGCCAAGAGGGCAGGCTGTTTGCAATCTGCTCCTCAAGACTCTGCCAATGTTGCTCAGTGGTTAATCAAAATAAGTGGCATGCCATCTGCCTCTGGTGGAGCAGAGTTCTCACCCACCTTTCTCCCAGTCTCAACCTACAGCCCGCTCTTGAGAACTCAACTGTGATCCGAAAAGCGCATTGGCACTAAGTTACTCTGTGTCACAGATCAAATGTGCCAACATGTTGCACACCTGACTAGATTGATCGTATACTGATTATGTAATTTGTGTTTCTAATTATACCAGGCATTGGCCTTGCTTGGCAGACCTTGGTGACGATATTGCCCTCGCCTATCTGTTTGCTTGTTGTAATTTTCAAATCTACTAAAGTACATTCAAGTGTTCTCAAATTGCTCATGCATCTTTCAAAAAGTTGGCATGAAAAATGATCCTGGATTGCTTCAAACAAAATATTTATTTTGGCAACTCTTAGTCATTTTTCACATATCGTTGATTAAAATGAGATCGGAATCCAGAAAACAACATAACCATGAATAGAGTGAAAACAGATGTTACCAACAATGGAATGTTACATGCATCTACTTTGTAAGGGATCTTGTGGTGCAGTCGTAGTGTTCCTGTCTTAGAGCCAGAAGGCTTAGGTTCAAGTCCCACCTGCTCCAGTGGTGTGAAATAACGTCTCTGAACAAGCTGATCAGAAAATACCTGCATCTATGTTGCAAGAGATCTTTGTTGCCTAGCTGTAGTGTCCCTATCTCTGAACTAGGAGGCCTGGATTCAAGTTGCACCTGCTCCAGAAATGTGTCACATTGATCTGTTAATTCAAAATATCAAGAAGGGGAGGTTGATGGCCACAATCTACTGGAACCAATGTGAGGTACCACACCATTGGACAGCGCCCCCAGCACCTTCAGGAGGATGTGAATAAAGAACTAGCTACATCTATGTTGCTTGTTAATGAGAAAGCTGATGGATTGAGAATCTGATTCTTGGCAAGGCACCAGCCAATCAACAAACTTTCCTGATTAACAGCAATTAATTGACAATTAACACAAGCATCTATTTAAAGTTACATGCTATAACTCTAAAGGAACAGATCAAAGCCAACATAGCTGCTGCATCAACATGAGAGTGATGCATTCTGTGTTACAGTCTGTCATCATAAAACATCATTCAACAGGCAAAAAGAATGTTAGAGGTGGCATCGATGTAAAAGCTTTATATATGCCACACTACAGCTATAATATTCCGGGGGGTTTGTTAGCTCAGTTAGTTGGACGGTTAATTTGTGATAGTGTGCATTCAATTCCTGCACTGGCTAAGGTTACCATGATGGACTCTTCTCCTCAACTTCTCTCCTCACCTAAGGCATGATGACCCTTAGATTAAACCACCACAACTGTTCTGCCTTCTCTCACAAGAGTGATCTGCTAGGACCTATGGTGACTGTACCTTTTTTTAATATTCCAGTCCATAGAATCAAAACAACTGTAAATGACTTGCTGTGGAGAGAAACAATTATCAATTTTATGCTTACCACATCAGACTTTGATTGTTTTCGGGATTGGAATTTTTACTTAAGAAAGGGACAGATCATAACATATGCAGCTATGCCTTTAGCTATATGCAGTTTCCTTCAAGTTGTTGAACCATTCTGTATGCAAATCATAGAATCCCTACAGTGTGGAAACAGGGAATTCAGCCCAACTAGTCCACATTGAACCACTGAAGAGTATCCCACCCAGATCCATCCCCATAAACCTGCATTCCATGGCTAATGCACCTAACCTACATATCCCTGAACACTAAGGGCAATTTAGCATGGCCAATCCACCTAACTTGCACATCTTTGGACTGTGGGAGGAAACCAAAGCATCCAGCAGAAATCCACGTAGACACAGGGAGAATGTGAAAACGCCACACAGACAGTTGCCCAAGGATGGAATCAAACCCGGGTCCCTGGCACTGTGAGGCAGCAGTGCTAACCACTGAGCCACCGTGCTGCCCCCAGCATTGGTTTGAACTACCAATGTTAAAATTGTACATGAACATTTATGAAAACAAGTTCCAAGTCAACTGTTACTGTCAAAGTACAGTATTTTGTTACCAGATGATTCAACTGGGCCCTACCGTCTATTAAACATAGCAATTTTTTTATCTGGACAACTAACTCCACCATTTGATAAGATCATCATTGATCGATCTGTGGCCTAACTCCCCTTTCCTATTTGCTCCCTCCCAGATAAACATTAACTCCCATGTTATCAAAACTATTCTTAACTCACCCTTGAGTTTAGGAATATAGGTAATGGGGGATCTTCTTCTGGAACCAGTCTAAATTTGATACATCTGAATTTAAATTTGAATGGGTTCCTTTAACTAATATTGACTATAGTTAGTATTGGGGTAGATTTCAGCACAACTCCTTTATCTATAGGTATAATGTATGACATACTGTATATCTCTGTCTGGTACAGACTTCTTCACTATTCACAGCTTCTAGTAAACGATTGCTGAATGTCTCTGTTACATCCTCATATTCACTTTTATTACATCACTAGGTATTAGGAATGTCTGAGGAGTTGACATAGGATGTTGGAATTTAGAAAAAGAAGGGCAGGGAACTTGCATTTAGTGATTGCATCAAGTTGGAGTTGGTGGAAATGGCAAGGCATAATCCATTCAATAGGGACGCTGATGGAGTGAAAGGTGAGAACAAGAGGAATATTACTGCTCTGGAAGGGAAGGGAAGGGGTAACACAGAACTGTATGAAGGAGATCAGAAATATTGGAGGATCCAGCTAACTATGTCAGGTGGGGATTCTCAGTTGAGGGTAAAAGAAGACATGGCTGAAGCTTTGGGATGGAAAATGCATCATTAGAATGGATATGACAGAAATAGAGATACTGGGAGAATGTCTCTACAGGAGGCAGGATGTGAGGAAATGTAGTCAAGATAATTGTAGGAGTCTGTACTTTTGTAGTGGACATTTGTAGTTCTGAACACAGTTTCTCAAATTTTCAGATGGACCTTGACAACATTCTGGCCATAGTACTGAAGACTTGTGCTTCAGAGCTTGCCACTCCCCAGAGCCAAGTTGTTTCAGTACAGTTTCAACATTTTTATCTACTCGAAAGAAATGGAAAATTGCCCAGGTATGTCCAGTGTACAAGATGAAGGACAAGTTCAATCCAGCCCTATTAGGCTACTCATTTATCAGCAAACTCTTGGAAGGTGTTGGCAGTGTTATCAGCCAGCACTTGCAAAGGAACAAGCTGATCACTAATATGCAGCTTGAGTTCTGCTCCAGACCACGTTACAGCTTTTTTTATCATTCATTCACAGCTTGTGGGTATCACTGGTTAGGCCAGCATTTATTGCCCATCCTAATTCAGGTGAGAGTCAATCACATTGCTGTGGGTCTGGAATCTGGCAGTGACTCCCACCTCCCATGCGTATGAGAAAAAAACTGTCCTCGATAGTGCACATATTCAGCTCAGTCGGGATAACAAATCTCATGACTTGTAAACATTTGCATGTATAATTGCCATGTGAGACATCATTCACACAACTCTACAGAACAAGAGTTCCACCGTACTCACAGCTGCCTCGACTTCAAAACCCAACATTCCCTCAAACTTGAAACTCCTCCATCTCTAGCTCTCTTTCTTCTTTCAAGATACTCCATTAAATCAAAAACAAAATCAGAAATTACTGGAGAAACTCAGCAGGTCTAGCAGCATCTGTGGAGAGAAAGCAGAGTTATTAGCTTGGAAAAGGCTGACATATATGCTGAAGATGGGGTAACGATGTAGTGGGGGTGAGGGTTAGCAGGGAGTAAATGATCGGTGGAGCCCAGACAAAGACAGAACAACCGTTGGACAGACAAAGGCATGTATAAAGGTCAGACTGGGGGAAATAAATAGCTGCTAATGGGGACCATTAGTGTCTGCCAATGGTTTATTTGTGGTAGCAGCTCATGTGATGACAAGGCCTGGTGTGTGGAGTTTGGGGTAAGGACATGGGACAACGTACTCAGGCCTTAATACGATTAAATTCGATATTGAGTCCAGAAGGCTGCATCGTCCCCAAGCAGAATATGAGACGCGGTACTTCTAGTTTGCGCTGAACTTTGCTGGAACACTGCAGCAACCCTGAGACAGAGATGTTGACCAGGGAACATGACGGTGTGTTGAAGTGGCAGACAACTGCAGCTCAGAGTCTTTTTTTGTAGCGGACAGAACATAGGTGTTCTGCAAAGCGGTCACCCCATCTGAATTTCATTTTCCCAGTATAGAGGAGACCACATTGTGAGCAGCGAATACAGTAGACTAGATTGAGTGAAGTGCAGGTAAGGCACTGCTTCATCTGGAAGGTGTGTCTAGGGCCTTGGATAGTGAGGAGGGAGGAAGTAAACAGGTAGGTGTTACACCTTTTGCAATTGTAGGGGAAGGTGCCATAGGGGAGTGTTGAGAGTGGATGAGGAGTGGAGCAGTGTGACCCCGATGGAACGGTCCCTGTGGATGTCTGACAAGGGAGGGGAGGGGTATGTGTGTCATGTGGTGACATCCCACTGGAGGTGGTGGAAATGACGGCTAATGACCCTATGAATGTGAATGCTGGAGTTGTGGTAAGTGAGGATGAGGGGGATCCT